GGCCCCGAGCTGGCCGGGGACATCATCTCCAGGGTCTTCTCCTCGGAGCTGCCGCAGGGGTCCTCGGCGCCCTCGGGGCCGTGGTTGAGCAGCCCGGTGGGCGTCAGGTCGAAGTTGACGCTGCGGTCGCTCTTGGGGGTCTTGGCCATGGGCGAGGGGGGGCACACGGCCCTCAGGGGGCTGCTCTCCAGGTAGCGGAGGCGCTGGGGGCTGTCGGGGTCCTCCAGGCCGTTCTCCAGGCAGGAGGAGTCCCCCGGCCGCCTGGCCCCCCCGTTCTCCAGGGATAAAGGCTCCAGCTCGCTCTCGGCCGTGGCGATGCCCTCGTCCGTGGATTCCTCCTTCCTCCTCCTCCCGCCGGGTCCCGGCTCCCGCTCGGCCTCCGGCAGCATGTCCTCGGGGGAGGAGGACTTGGAGCCATCCGACGTCCCCGGATCCTTCCTGGCACCCGCCTCCCGCGGGGTTTTAGCCTTGGGTTTCTCCAGCTCCTTCTTGAGGGGCGGCTTCTTGATGCTGCCGGCCTTGGCCAGGGGTTTGCGGGTCTCCGGGACCGGCGTTTTCCGTGCCGGAATCTTGGCCGGAGCCTTGGCCTCTGCCTTGCTCTCCTTCATGTCCTTCCGCAGCGTCTCGGCCTTCGCCTCCTTCTTCACCACCTTCACCTCCTTCTTGGCCTCCCCTTTCCCCTCGGCCCCCTCGTCCTTCTTTGGCAGCTTCTTCTCCTCTTTCTTGGGAACTGGCTCCTTCTTGGGAGCCGCTTTCTCCTTGTTCAGCTTCGCCTTCATGTCTCCCTTCGCCTTCTCCACCGCAGAGTCCGCCTTGGCTCGAGCATCCTTGGCTTTCTCCTCTTCCAACCCCGTTCTGGCCGTCTCCCCCATGGATTTTGCCTTCTCCTTGGCCCCAACCTTCACCTCCTTCTTCTCCACCTTCGGAGTCTTCTCCTTGGGCACCGGTGCCCCGGCCTCCACCAGGCTGAGCTTGGAGCCCGACTTCAGGCTCTCCTTGCTCTCCGCCCTCCTCTGCTTCAGCGGCTTCTCCGGCGGGGACGCCGACACCCCCTTCAGATCATTCTTGGTGACCACGGGGTGCCTGAGGAACTCCAGGTGCTTCACCTTCTCCAGCCCCTCCAGGATGCGGGCCTGGGGGGTGCAGCCGGGGAAGAGCACCCGGATGATCTTCTCGTAGCGGCTCACGGGGTGCCAGACGAGCAGGACGCACACGGAGGTCAGGCACTGCAGGGGCAGGTCCTGCTCCTTGGGGTACCCGTTCCCCGCCCACTGCTGCAGGAGGAACTCCAGCTCCTTGGTGCCCTTCACGGGGTTCAGCACGTACATGTCCAGCCGGCCCACTCCCATCTTCTGGAAGAGCACGGTGGGCTCGGCGCGGGGGCCGCTGTCCCGGGCCAGCAGGTTGGGGCGGATGCCCAACTTCTCCAGGTAGTGCAGGGTCAGGGCGGCCTCGTCGCAGCTCTTCAGCACCCGGGAGTTGCCCTCGATGTCCTTCAGCTTCTCGGAGGCGTTGAGGAAGACGACGCCCAGCTCCGGGGAGATGAGGTTCTTGGCCCAGTCCCCGTTGCCCTGGGAGCTCTGGGACTGGGATGGGTCCTCCTCCAGCTCGGCCAGCTTCCTCTGGAGCAGGCTGTTGATGCCAGGCAGGCTGTCCGTGCCCGCGTGCGTCACCAGGATGGAGTCGATGCGGTCCAGGTGCCGGACCAGCTTCCAGAAGGAGGATTTGGGGTTGGAGCCCCCGTTGACCAAGACGTTGAAGCCGTTGACGGCAAAGAAAGCAGAGTCCCCTCTCCCGCCCGGGAAGATATAGCAGCAGGGCTTGGAGAGCTTGAGGAATCCCACCATGGTGGGGGGCTCCAGGAGGTCGAAGGGGGACTGGGGCTCCAGCGACTCCGACAGGTACTCCATGAACTCCTCCAGCCCCTCCATCTCCGGCAGGACGCAGCCCGGGTTGTAGCGCAGCTCGATGAAGTCCTGGAGGTTGTGATGCTCCAGGCCCGAGTCCCTCCACTCCCCAAAATCGGGGCAGCTGATGGTCAGCCTGGCCTTGGCCGAGGGGTCCGCGGAGCTCAGGATCTCCCCCACCTGCGAGGGGACGGGGACAGCCGGGGCTTCAGGGGGGAGGTGGCACCAGGGACAGCGATGTGACAGCCATGGGGAGGGGGGGCCCTGCCTCACCCCCCTTCCCTGGGGATCCCACATTCCCATTACCCACAAAGGGGGGGCCCTTCCCTGGTTCCCTCCCCGCCCTG